CCGCCATCTATCCTCCCAAATATCGCCTCGGGTTCACTTCTCCGCATGTCCTACCTTCCAGAAAGTGGTCGCTTTTCTGTTCAGAGAGTTGTTGCTATTCTTTTCTTCGATCTTCTGTGGAGTTTGTATGTGTTCAGAATGCTTTAATCCGTATCCAGCTGAATGCCTGAGAGGAGACGAAATCCAGGTCTCCTACTCCTCGGCCATCTTCCAACTCACCTCTTCTTTATGAGGCTAGTATCGCTGCCTTGTGTGTCCGTGCAGTCCTAAAGCCAGGCATGTAACTTGAGGAAACAACACTGTAGAGATCCCATGCTTCACCTTAAATAGCCATTCCTGAGAGTGGAAGCATTTAGTTGTGTGCATGCGTGAGAGCACTGCAAGGGAGTCCCGAACCTAATTCTGAGGGAGGCTCAGGCTGTGGCAGAAGGCAGCACACGACTCTCACTTGTTTCATCAAGCTAGCACTGCGGCCCCACTTTTGCATGGAAGTCTAATCACTTGTGTTCTAACTTGAAGAAGCAACAGTGTACAGAAACTGTGCTTTAACTACCGTCGACCTCTCTGTGGGAGGAAGCCGTTTACGGTGTACTGAGGGTGAGAACCTGGGGGATGGGTTCCATACGTAAAATAGAGGGAGAAACAGGCCGGTGCAGAAGGCAGCTGTCAACTCACCTCTTGTTTACGAGGCTAGTACCGTTGCCCCGTGTGTGCCTGCAGGCCTAAAGCCAACCACCTAACTCAAAGGAACAACTCAGTAGAGAATTCCTGCTTTGGCTAAAATAGCCATGCCCGAGGCTGGAAGCATTTTGCTGTGTGCATGCGTGAGCGCACTGCAAGTGAGTCCAAAACCATTTTCCGTGTGAGTCTCAGGCCCTGGCAGAAGGCAGAACATGACTCTCCACTTGTTTCATGAAGTTAGCCCTGCGGCCCCACTTTTGCATGGAAGTCTAATCGCTAGCATTCTAACTCAAAGAAACAACACTGTAGAGGGACCGTGCTTTAGCTAGCGTCGCTGTTCTGGTGGGTGGAAATATTTTCAGTGTGTGTGCGTGAGAGCCCGGGAAATGGTTCCATAATTCACTCTGAGAGAGAAATGGCTTCGTCCAGAAGGCAGCTCTCGAATCAGCTCCAGTTTCATGAGGCTAGCACTCCTCCTGCATGTTTGCATGGAGGCCTAAGTTCCAGCCACCTCCCTCAAAGCAACAACACTGTAGAGAAACTGTGATTTAGCTACCACCGACTGGTCTGTGGGAGGAAGCAGTTTATGGTGTACTGTGGCTGAGAACCTGGGGAATGGGTTCCATACGTAAATCGAGGGACAAACAGGCCGGAGCAGAAGGCAGCTCTCAACTCACCTCTTGTTTACGAGGCTAGTACCGATGCCCCGTGTGTGCATGCAGGCCTAAAGGCAATCCCGTAACTTGAAGGAACAACTCTGGTGAGAATGTGTGCTTCAGCTAAAATAGCCATTCCTGAGGGTGGAAGCATTTTGCTGTGGGAATGCGTGAGAGCACTGCAAGTCAGTCCGAAATCATTTCCTCTCCCTCGATTTTATGTATGGAACCCGTCTCCAGGCTCTCGCCCACAGTACACCCTAAACGGCTTCGTCCCACAGAGAGGTCGACAGTAGCTAAAGCATGGTTTCTGTACAGTGTTGTTTCTTCGAGTTAGAACGCTAGCAATTAGACTTCCATGCAGAAGTGGGGCCGCAGTGCTAGCTTCATGAAACAAGTGGGGAATCATGTTCTGCCTTTTTCTGGGGTGTGAGTCTCACACGGAAAATGGTTTTGGACTCACTTGCAGTGCGCTCACGCATGCACACGGCAAAATGCGTCCACCCTCAGGAATGTTTATTTTAGCTGAAGCAGGAATTCTCTACAGAGTTGTTCCTTTGAGTTCAGTGGTTGGCTTTAGGCCTGCAGGCACACATGGGGCAACAGTACTAGCCTCGTAAACAAGAGGTGAGTTGAGAGCTGCCTTCCGCTCCGACCTGTTTCTCCCTTGATTTTACGTATGGGACCTGTTCCCCAGGCTCTCAGCCACAGTACAGTGTAAACTGCTTCCTGCCACAGAGATTTCGACGGTAGCTAAAGCATGGTTTCTCTACAGTGTTCTTCCTTAGAAGGAGGTGCCTGGAGCTTAGGCCTTCACACACACATGCAGGAAGAGTGCTAGCTTCATGAAACTGGAGCTGATTCGAGAGCTGCCTTCTGCAAAAAGCCCTTTCTCTTTCGGAGTGAATTATGGGACCATTTCCTGGGCTCTCACGCACACACACTGAAAATATTTCCACTCACCAGAAGAGCGATGCTAGCTAAAGCACGGTCCCTCTACAGTTTTGTTTCTTCGAATTAGTACACTAGCGATTAGACTTCCATGCAAAAGTGGGGCTGCAGTGCTAGCTTGATGAAACAAGTGGGGAGTCGTATTCTGCCTTCTCCCGCGACCTGAGCCTCACTCGGAATTAGGTTTGGGACTCACTTGCAGTGCTCTCATGCAAGCACACAACTAAATGTTTCCACTCTCAGGATAGCCTATTTAAGTTGAGGCATGGATTCTCTACAGTGTTTGTTTTTCGAGTTAGGTGGCTGCCTTTAGGTCTGCATGCACACACGGGGCAACGGTTTTAGCCTCATAAGACAAGAGGTGAGTTGACAGCTGACTTCTGCGGGATTCTGTTTCTCACTCGATTTCACGTATTGAATCCTCTCCCCGGTCTCTCACAGATATACACTGTAAATTTCCTCCGGCTTCAGGAATGGCAATGTTAGCTAATGTGAATTAACTCTACAGCATTGATTTTTGGTGTTAGTAGCCTGGCACCTAGGCATCCAGGCACACAGGGTACAGCAGTGCTAATCTCCTAAGACAAGAGGTGAGTTGAGAGCAGCCTTCCTTACAGGCATGTTTCTCAGCCAGTGTTACGTTTAGGTCCCATTTCTCATTCTTTCTCAAAAACACACAGCAGATGAAGTTCACGCTCAGGAAGTGCAACGTTTGCTGAGTCATGGGTTCTCTACAGTGTTGTTCCTTTGAGTTAGGTGGATGGCACTTAGGACTACATGCACACACGGGGCAACAGCCTTAGCTTCCCGAAAGAAGAGTTGAGTCGAGAGGTGCCTTCTGCCCATGCTTATTTCTCCCTCGGAATTATGTTGGGATTCATTCTCCAGATTGGCACACAAGCACAGTTGAAAATGCTGCCACCCTGTGAAGAGGTGAAGTGGGCTGAAGCTGGGATTCTTTAAAGGCTTGTTTCTTCCAAGTCAGGCCCGAGCACTTAGCGTTCCAAGCACACACGGAGCAGTAGTGTTAGCCCCAGGTAGCAAGAGCTGAGTCAAGAGGTGTCTTCTGCACCGGCCTGTTTCTCCCTCGGTTTCACATATGGAACTGGTTCCCCAGGCTCTCACGCATGGTAACCCGTAAACTGCTTCCTCCATCATAGAGGTCCATGGTAGCTAAAGCACGGTTTCTCTACACTGTTATTCCTTTGAGGGAGGTGCCTGGAACTTAGAGCTCCACACAAGCATGCAGAGGAGTGCTAGCTTCATGAAACGAGAGCTGATTAGAGAGTTGCCTTTGCACGAAGCTGTTTCTCTCTCAGAGTGTTTTATGGGATCGTTTCCTGGGCTCTCACACACAAACTGAAAATGTTTCCAGCCTCCAGAACAGCGATGCTATCTAAAACACGGTCCCTCTACAGTGTTGTTTCTTCGAGTTAGTACGCTAGCAATTAGACTTCCATGCAAAAGTGAGGCCGCAGTGCTAGCTTCATGAAACAAGTGGAGAGATGTTTTCTGCCTTCTGTTGGAGCCTGAGTCTCCCTCGGAATATGGTTTGGGACTCACTTACAGTGCTCTCAAGCATGCACACAGCAAAATGATTCCACTCTCAGGAAAGGCTATTTAAGCTGAAGCACGGATTCTCTATAGTGTTGTCCTTCGAGTTAGGTGGCTGGCTTTAGGCCTGCACATACACATGGGTCCACATTACTAGCCTCATGAAACAAGAGGTGAGTTGAGAATTGCCTTCCGCACGATCCTGTTTGTCACTCGATTTCCCACATTGGACCCATTCCCCGGGCTCTCAACCATGGACACTGTAAAATTCCTCCAACTTCTGGAATGATGATGTTTGCTGAAGCTAGGTAACTCTACAGTATTGATTCTTTGTGTTATTAGCCCGGTACCTAGGCACCAGGCACCCAGGGTACAGCCGTGGTAACTTCCTAAATCAACAGGTGAGTCTAGAGCAGCCTTCCTCAGAGGGCTTTTTCTCACTAGGAGTTACGTTTGGGTCCCATTTCCCATGGTCTCACACAAGCCCACAACAGATGAAGTTCACACTCAGGAAAGGTGGTTTGATGAAGCACAGTTTCTCTACAGTTTTGTTCCTTTTAGTTAGGTGGATGGCACTTAAGACTACACGCACACTTGAGGCAACAGTGGTTGCTCTCTGAAACAAGAGCTGAATGGAGATTGCCTCTGGCATGGTCCCATTTCTCCCTCAGAATTATGGATGGGACCCATTCCCCAGGTTTTTGCCCATGCACACTGCCAAATGCTGCTACCCTGTGGAGAGATGGTGTGAGCTGATGCTCGTGTTCCTTACAGGTTTGTTTCTTCCAAGAGTCGAGCACTTAGCATTCAAAGCACACATGGAGCATTAGTGCTAGCTTCAGGAAGCAAGAGGTGAGTCAGGATGTGACCTCTGCACGGTCTTGTTTCTCCCTCTGAGTTTTGTATTGGATCCGTGCCCAGGGCTGTTTCACTCTGTTTTGAAAATACATCTGTCTTCCTGAAATTGTTTAGTATAAACATGGTTTCTTTTACGGTGTTGCTTCTCAGAGTTAGGTCCATCGCACTTTCCTTAAGCTATCACACATACTTTTGAATGTGCTTCCGTCTTCAGTAGAGAAGGTGTTCATTGAACACTGTTTTTTCTACAGTACTATTTCTTAAAATTAAGTATTTGGCACTTTGCCTGGGCTTCCACACGTACTTTTGAAATCACTTCGATCTTCATGAAACAAGATTTTGTGGAAAGATGAATTCTACACAGACTTGTTTTTTAGAGTAAGAATATGGCATTACCTTTACACTCTAACATACCCTTTGAACATGCTTCCATCTTCAGGAGAGATGTTAGTTGAAATTCGGTTTCTCTCCCATGTTGTTACTTAGAATTACGTTTATGGCACTTTCCTTAAGCCTCCATACATACATTTGAAAATTGCTATCTTCATGGAACAAGATATTAGTTCAAATTTGCACTCTTTACAGACTTGGTCCTCCGAGTTAAGTATATTTCACTTTTCCTTATGTTTCAGACACACTTTTGATAATACTTCTATCTTCTGGAAAGAACATGTTAGGTGAGGGATGGTTTCTCTACAGTATTGTTTCTTAGAGTTAAGTATATGGCACTTTGTTTAAGTTTCAACACACATATTTGAAAACGCTTGTATCTTCATGAGTCAAGATGTTAGTTCGAAGTTGCATTCTATCTACACAGATTTGTTTCTTGGAATTAAGTATATAGCATTTTGCTTACGCTTTCACACACACTTTTGCACGTGCCTCCATCTTCATGATGGAAGATGTGAGTTGAAAGATGGTTTCTATATGGCGTTCTTTCTTAGAATTAAATATACAGCACTTTCCTTATGCTTCCACACATTCATTGGAAAACACTTCTATGTTCGTCAAAGAAGACGTTCACTGAAAGAGGGTTTCTATACATTGTTCTTTGGTAGAGTAAGTATATGGCACTTTCCTTATGCTTCCACACATACATTGGGAATGGTTCTATCTTTGTGAAATAATATGTTATTTGAAAGATGGTTTCTGACTTGTATTCCCAAAATTAAGTACATGGCACTTTTCTTAGGCTTTCGTACATACAGACGAAAATGCTTCTATATTCATGAAAAATAATGCCAGTCAAAAGAGGTTTTTCATATAGTGTACTCTTTTAGGATAAATTGTATGACACTTTCCCTGTGCTTTCACACATACATTTGAAAACGCTTCTATCTCTGTGAAAGATGTTAGTTAAAGGATGTCTTCTATATGGTGTTCTTTCTTAGAGTTAGGTATATGCCACGTTCCTTATGCTTCCACATGAACATTGCAAAAGGTTTCAAATTTCATGAATGAAGATGTAGTTGAAAGAAGGTCTGTCTACAATTTTCTTTCTTAGAGTTATGTATATGGCACTTTCCTTATGCTTTCACACATACATTTGTAAATGCTTCTATCTTCATGAAAGATGTTAGTTGAAAGACGGTTTCTAGACCCTGTCCTTTTTTAGAGTTAACTATGTGGTCCTTTCCTTATGCTTCCACAGATGCTCCTAATGTTCCTGAGGTTTAGGGTCTTCACTAGAATCATGGTCTCCAGCAATATAGCTGGGGGTTGTAGCTCTCACGGTTTCCTCCTTTGTTCTTACCTGATTAGCCTGGTGTTGCCCAAGTGTCCAAAATCCTTTGTAGCCTCAGAACTGGTGTTTGATTCTGGTCGAGGCCACTTCCAGGGCTACTGTTTGAGTTATAGTAAAAAAGAGGTTAGGGGCCAATTCGATGGCAATGCAGAGTCCTATCCTGAGGGCTGAGTGGAGGGCTTAGCCTTATGGTGGGGCTCAGACTTCGGGATTGGCCTCAGGGGGATGTTGATTGTGTTGGTGAAGGTTTGGATTTTCACTAGCATCCTGCTTTCCCGCTCCATTCGGGGTTTGCATGAGACTCGGTTTCCTTTTGTATTCTTGCCTGAGTAGCCTGGCGTCAGCTTGGTGTCCCAATCCATTATGCCCTCAGACACAGTGTTCATTTGGTTCAGTGCCACAGCCAGGACTATGGTTAGGGTTCCAGTCCAGGAAAGAATTGGGGCTGATTCAATGGCGGTG